ATTTGGGTCGCGACCAGAGTCGCGGAACGAATTAAGTTCGTGAACCGAGGTACCACTGTAAATACTTTATCCATAAAGTAAGACACAAACCAAGTTGCTAGCCATCAGATGTTTGTAGCATTTCATTAAAAATTGCATTATTTTCTCACAGTTGCAGAGAAGGACATATAGCCAAAAGGGGCAGTATTGACAAAATTCTGAGAAACCAGGAGGAGGCAGTGTGTGGCTGTTAATACTTGGCAGAGGGATTTCTTAAATCTGTCTCCATACCTGTTGTTTCTCCTTGTTCTGGTTTTGATCTCATGACTGTTTTTTTTTTTAAATAAAAATCTGCATGGCTCAGATAAGGCATACAAGATGAATAATGGGCTTATCCATTTCCTCCAGTCTTCACATTGCAAATAGGATTGATTGCAATGTGTTCTAAATATGCAAGAGAGCAATAATAATCAGGGAACAACAATTTCATTCTGAAAGGAATTAGGTTATTTTGTTGATGAAGATCAAATGTAGGATGAAATGCATTACGCTTATGCAAAATATATTTCATACTTCCAGATGATGGAATAAGTTTAGTCTTCTCCGCTTATGTTATTTTTTTAAATTTGTGTAAATATTGTATTGATTTTGAATTATTACGGATACCTTCCTCAAACCCATATTTGGTGAAAAGGTAGCTCATATACCATTTAAATCAATCAATCAATCAATCAATCAAGTTTCTCTATTCTCTAATTTTTATTGAACAGGAGAGATGTTTAGAGCAGGTTTGCCCACCCTGGCTCAAACGTCTTTGCCACCATAAACTGTGAGTTGTGATCCAGCACGTCTGGACAGCACCAGCGTGTCTGAGGAAGGCTGTGCTAGACAACTGGAGCCAAAATGTACTATTTCACCCCAACCTTGGCCTTTTTTTTCAAGACCCTGTCAGTTGGTCAGGCCTGAATAGTAGAAGCACTTCTGGCAGGATTCAGTCTTTCATGTGGCTCTTAAAATATAGAATTCCTCAGCCCTTAGCTAGTTCCTTGAGTCGCAGATGGCAAGCGCTTGGCTTTTGTCTGTGTTATAGCTTCCTTCACTTTCAGGACTATCATTCCTCTGCCTGTTTGTGCCCTTTTTTGTAGCCGTCTTGCCTTAGAGCTTTTTTCTCCCTTTAGAGTCCCCCTACATCCTGTAACCACTGGGAAAAAAATGGCCTTTTCCTTCAGCTTTTTTTCAGTGCTTGTCAAGATAATTTACTGCCTGAAAAATGAACCTGTTTGAGGATTTGGGGCAAAAGCACAGTCCCGCTTCTCCCCATCCCTGAGTAGTAAAAACATAGCAATAATAAATTACAGAACCGACCATTTGCTGCTCTTTCAGTCACCTCAAACAGATGGCCCCATTCTGTTTGATGGGAAGCCGTCTCCCCATCCAGTCTTCCAAAAGCAGCTTGCCTCCTAGCCTCCCCCAAGTGCTGAACCTTTAATTTCAAATGGGGGCAATGTCATCTGATACAAGATGAGGCTTCCTGGGTCATAAGATCAGTGCAAATGCTTTTAGTAAAGCAAGCTACCTTTGGCAGTTCTGGTTCCTGCCCTGATTCATGCGAACAATACAGATGGACAAGGCAGTGTATGCCAAAGCTGGGCCTTTTGCTTGACTCCGAATACAACAGCTCCCCCAGTTCAATCAAGAGCATTAAGATTAAGATTTCTTCACCGGTTGCTATGGAGCTAGCCAGGGATGGTTATGAAACATGCCCAGGGTGTATAGCTCATTAGGAGAATTTAGTTAAAGGCTTTGTTTTTATTCTGAGGAAGTGGCTGACACAACTTGGTTAAATCATTTCACAACCTCCAGCATATGAAAGGGATAAAACTGATTAACTCGATTAACCTCTTTAATGCCAGTTGCACTATGCTTATTTATTCATTAGTCGTCTCTCCCAGGCAACTGTCAGCGCTGAATACCGTGGGCAAACATACATACCTACACATCAAGGGCAGTGAAGGTCCCAAAATGAGAAATGCCCTTGAAAATATTCAGAGTTTTAAAAAAGTTTTGCTATTTCTGTGTTTGGGTTTTTTTTCCCTGCCATTATTTTACAATATATACTTGGAGACAAAAGCTGTGAAAGAGAGAACTTAGCAACAGGCCACAAACAAGGGGCAAATACAGATGCTTCATTGCAAATCATTTACGATTGCCAACAATATCTACAATGGTTTAAAGCGAATCTTTCGACCAAACTTTATGTCTTTAAAATGATAAGTAAAATTATAATCCTGGAGAATCTTCCCTGTCCCTGTCCAGGTTGTTTAATGGTAGAACTAGCTATTAGTGTGAAATAGTAGCAGTTGCAGCAGGCTGGCTTAAGGAAAGACTTATGCACTGGAGCATCCCAGATGCGCTCCTTGGTTTTCTGATCAGTGAATATCAGAGGTGGGTTTTTAGTTTCTCTGGGGAGGTATTTAAACTGGTTTTGCAGTTGCTGCAACTAACCATAGAAGGGAAATTTTAGTGTCGTTAGTGAACATTGACAATGCCGCCTCTTAAGATTATCCGTGGCAACTAGTTATGGCAGCTATCTACAGTATTGTACTTTGGGACATGTCTCTAAATATTAGCAGCTATGGATCATGAATGTTGTATATTGCAAATGTATTACTTTTGGAATCTCCTAGATTTTTGGTTAGTTTCTATGGGAGTAAAATATTGGATAAATAAAGTCTTTGGTCTATTCCAGCAGAATTCTTCTGTTGTATATCTGTCTAGGAAGTAGTAAGTCCCACTGAGTTTAGTGGACTAACTTCTCATTAGTGAGTATAATGTGAAGCATATTTTTTATTGATGTGTAAGGAAAATATTTGATAAATCATTGTGAATCACAACAGCAGCAAAATCAAATCGTACAGGTTTGTAAGGTATGTGGAAATGGCTTAACTTTAGTCTTATTATTGTTTCCAGATCTACCAGAGTGGAATTTTGATGGCTCCAGCACTCTCCAGTCTGAAGGCTCGAACAGTGACATGTATCTTGTGCCTTCGGCCATGTTTCGAGATCCTTTCCGCAAAGATCCAAACAAACTGGTTTTATGTGAAGTTTTAAAGTACAACCGCAAGCCCGCAGGTGTGTTCCAACTTTGGCCTTTTAAACCTTCTGTCCTGACCAGGAAAAGAAGTGCAGAAACCCCCCACTTCATAGAAATGAATAATAAGGCAGAGTGTTAACCCTTGCACATTGTGGACAAAAAGTACCCTTTTTAACATGTCTTGGCTGGAGAAAGAGGGTTTAATGTTTTGAGAAAATATTACTGGAGTTTAGACTCTAAAGCTGATAGCCTTGAGTGATGATCACTAAATGAAATCTCCAGTTCATACTTAAAGATATCTGGGAGAGAGTTTGTGATCATAACCTTCAAGCCTTTCTTGTAAATGTATCTGGATCTTTTTGAAATTAAAATGCTGGACTTGATGGGCCCACCATCTGATCCAGCAAGGTGCTTCTCATGTCTTTACAAGTCAGGAAGCAATAGTTTGGGTTTCTGGGAGGAGATCTACCAGAGGCCAACTTTATCAAATCAGGGATATACATTTCAAGAGCTAGACTTTTGCTCCTTTAGTATTCTCATACTTTTTTTCTATATGGAGATAGATAGATAGATAGATAGATAGATAGATAGATAGATAGAATTCCTAGAGGAGAATCAAGCTTAATATAGTATCATTACAGTATTCAAGAATTTTCCAACTCCACAGTTCACTCTAAATTGGGAAGGAAGTTGTTGTGTTTTTCTGATTGATGAGATTTTAAAGTTTTTGTTTTGTTTTGCCATGAGCTTAGCCCAGTGGGCAGCATAAAGAACAGGTATTTTTGGCCCTGCTGCCACTCCTTTCACTGTTCCCAGGGGGAACTCTAAATAGGAGACTTGCAGTTCCCCCGAAGACAAAACTTTTGTGCCATCACCTAGCAGAATAATCTAACCTAGTGGTTTATCAAAACATGGTAGGTTACAATTCACTTGTGACCATCTATATTTCAGTGGGGAGGTAATTGCCATGGTAGCATTATATAACATCACAGGCAGTCTCTGCCATACATTGTGATTCTTCATTTACGTTTTTGATCCTGGTTGTTCAACAGAGTCCATTGCAGAAGTTTATTTTGGTAACAGTCAGATCCTACTGTATCATTATAATGGCACTTATACAAAATAAGAATTAAAAAACCGTTGCTTTTTGGACCAAACCACACTCCCTGACTCTGTCTAACATGACATTTCTGGTAACAGCTTGCCAGATCCTTTTGGAAAGGCACCAACACAGCATGCAGTTGCCAGAAAAAAAGTTAGTAAATGCTCTCATGTGAAGCCACTTCCAATCACAAGACTTTCATTCTTTAAGCTTCAGCTGATTTCTCATCAGCTGATCTGTATAGCTTTCCTCATACATCTCTCATGTAATATATTGAACAATGTTTCCCCTTTTAACCACTGCATTATAATTCTGAAAAAAAATCTAGGCTTTATTAGCATCTCAAAGCCATCCTGTTGTAATAACCATGCTGACAACCGTTGCCATTGTTTACCTTGATGCTGATGTTTAATCAAGATCTTTGACTGTAAAGGACAATCTTGGCTTAGCTAAAATATTCTGAGGACTCTTGAGCAATAAGTCATCCAGCTTCCACTACATTCTGGCAATGTAAAAATAAATACAATGTGGTGACTTATCTTACAAGGTGACTGGGAAGATTAATTAGAAAGCAGTTTAGACACACTGAGCTTTAGAGATTGGAAGGAAAGAACATTAGCCAAACCATCAACCTAAATCCTCTCTTCTGTAAAAGACTTGCTTAACCTTGAGTCTTTGCCCCTAAGTGCAGTGAAGTACAAATATATGAAGTTGCAGTTTGTATTCATCTATGCCTCCCTTTTAAGGGAAGATACAATCTGTGTGAATGACCAACTTTGACTTACTCCTTGTTTCTTTTAGAAACAAATCTAAGAAATACTTGTAAAAGGATTATGGACATGGTGTCTAACCAGAGCCCTTGGTTTGGAATGGAGCAAGAATATACCCTTCTAGGAACAGATGGACATCCCTTTGGTTGGCCTTCCAATGGCTTTCCTGGACCACAAGGTAAGATTCTATATAGTAAATTCCTATGAAGTCTTGAATGCATAAGTACTAATGACAGTCTGCCATTGGGACACCACCACAGGTTAGTGACACAGCTACTGCTTTTCATAATAAAGATTAGGTCCCTGATACTAGAAATGGGAATGTAGGCAACAGAAATCTACTGCTGAGGTAGATGGGCCACTGACTTAATCAACAGAAATTCCCAATTCATGAGAGAGAATGGAACTGTTTAGAGGAAAAGAGTCATGCTTTCAAAGTACAGTTTATATATTTATATATCAAATTTATATCACTGCCCAAATCCCCCACAAGGAGGGACTCTGGGCGGTTCACAACAGTTACTAATTGTTCACTTGTTACTCCTTCTTGGATTAATCTAATGGTGATCTGAGCAAATCAGGGATGACATTGTGAACAGGATCATATTCCAAAGGGTTAGATTACTTGGGGACATCACTAAAGGTATATTAAGTCAATGACTGAATAAGAAAGGACAGCATAATTCAATTTACCCTTTTCACAAGAGTATCCCTTATATAACATGGATCTGCTGAATACAGTATGGATTCCCCTGCTGACTTCTTTTGTTTCTTGTGTTTCTCCAGGACCATACTACTGTGGAGTTGGAGCAGACAAAGCTTATGGCCGAGACATTGTAGAAGCCCATTATCGTGCCTGCCTATATGCAGGTGTGAACATTGGAGGCACAAATGCAGAAGTTATGCCAGCACAGGTATAGATCCTTGTTGCTAATGCTTACCTTTCACCACTGGAATTCTTTGTACCCATTTAGCATACAAAGAGAAAGATGTGAATAGCATCTTGCAAAGGTGTTGCAATTGTCCTAACTTGATTCTGATTCTCTTGTAGTGGGAATTCCAGGTGGGTCCTTGTGAAGGTATTGAGATGGGTGATCACCTCTGGATTGCACGATTCATCCTTCATCGAGTATGTGAAGACTTCGGCGTCATTGTATCTTTCGACCCAAAGCCCATTCCTGGGAACTGGAATGGGGCTGGATGCCATACTAACTTCAGCACTAAGGGCATGCGAGAAGATGGAGGCCTCAAGTAAGTGCTGCTCCTTTCTTGCAAAGTTTTCTTTAAGGGACTTTAAGAGACAAGGAGAAACAAACCATCCTCCCAAAATATTACAACTAAGTTATTGGGATAGCTGAAAAGTACAGTATATTGGACTACTTTACAATAAAGAAAATTAATAGGTGAAAACTCCACTGCATTGAAAATTGGAAAAAAAACCCACCCTGCATATAAAAGACTGAAGGCAAACTAGAATGTCTTTTACTGCTAGGGATATTTCTACTAGCAATGTGTGTATGTTTTACAAGAATGTTTAAAATTAGATTTACTCTCCCCCAAATCATTCATCTGCAAAGGATGCCATAGTTGTATTCTGTGAGTTGGATGAAATACTCTCCAAAATGTCTTTTGATTTTAAATATGGGCAGGAAGGGGAAATCATTTCACAATGTTGGTTTTCTTGAATTTTCATCATTAAGAAGCATTTTTTATATTTGGAGGCTCATGGGAATGCCTAGCTTTAAACAAGCACATATCAAGAACAGGGCTATTTCTATATTAGAGTTTATGGGAGGCAGAAGAATATAGTAATAAGCAAAGAACCTTGCTTCCTAAAATCATTCACTTTCCTTTCTAATATTTGGCATTCCTCTGGAATAAAGTATTAGATAGACCTTGCTGTACGCTTGTGAAACTGCAACACATGTTCAGTCTTAGTGACATGAACAGCTGAGCTGGGCTGTCTTTGACAATGCTCTTCTTTCTTCCACAGGCAAATTGAAGAAGCCATTGAGAAGCTTGGTAAGCGTCACCAGTACCACATCCGCGCCTATGATCCCAAAGGAGGGCTGGATAATGCCAGGCGCTTGACTGGTTTCCACGAAACATCAAACATCCATGAGTTCTCTGCTGGAGTAGCCAACCGTGGGGCCAGCATTCGTATCCCAAGAAATGTGGGCCAGGTGAAGAAGGGCTACTTTGAGGATCGACGGCCCTCTGCTAACTGTGACCCATATGCTGTGACCGAAGCACTAGTCCGCACTTGTCTTCTCAGTGAAACTGGGGATGAGCCCTTTGAGTACAAGAACTAAGTGGGCTCGTCCCACGTGCTCCCATTCCCTTCTTCTGTATTTTCTCTCTTCTAGATATTAATTGTGAGGGCGTGAGATACCATGTTTGTGCTCCCTCTCCTAAAGCTTACCCTTTGTTTCTTTGTGTGGGAGGGGGAAGTCTAGTCTCTTTCACTGTTTGTTCTGTCATTTGAGGGGCAAAGAAGACAAGTGGGATTTTACCACTATTTCATGTAATTCATCTGTATGTCTTGAGAGGGTTTTGGTAGCTTCCAGGAATAGATGGCAAAGTTGAGACCTGGGTTGTGGAGAGGAAGATAGAAGAAGTATATTGTTGGGGTCTAATTGTTCTCCCTCCCTGGATTTGCCCTTCATGGGCTATGTTGGAATGAGGAAAAGGGCAATTGGGTGTCATTCATTCTCTTTGGTAAAATGAATTTGGCAGCCCATCACCATTCAGTCTGGGGTGCTGGGACACAATGCAGATCCACAAGCAAGTGGAAGTCCACAAGGGCAGGAAGCCGTCTTGATACCTTTTCCTGGGACTCCTAGAGTATTCCTACATGCAGACTTTTTCCTGCCAGAGTTAGAACCATTCTTAGGTCTTCTTAAGGTCTTTGGTCACTGTTCCCTTCTTGGGATTAAAAGTTGTAGGTTTTATTTTAAAAAGCTGCTGAACACTTCTATCTGTTCTTGGAAGCTAATTGATTTTTTGTTTCTAACAAAGTGAAATAGTCTTTTTATATATATTTAAATGTCTAAAAACACCTACAAAAATTGTTGTCTTTTTTTAAAGGTCCACTAAATCAGCTCTTTGAAGAAGGGCTGAGATTGCTGCAAGGGTCTGTTGGTTAAGGCTCATAGGTGAAATGGGAAAGCAGTGTGCTGTCGTGTTCAAGAACAAGTTTGATGGTTTGTTACACACAAGAGGCTGTCCGTTTACAGGCTTATAAGTTAAAATAGGCATTAATTTTTAATTTAAACTAAAGCTGCTGGCTGTCTAAGCTGAGCTGCGTGCGGCTGGCTGCAGCTTGTGCTTCAAATGAAGAGTTGACTGGTCAACTTTAACCATATTATTGACAAATAATTGGCAGGGAATGGAGGGTGTTAAAATTCCCGGTAGGATTGGCATGTCAATTAAAGCAGGGCTTTCCATAAAGAAGGCAAAAGCACAGGAGGGGATGGGAAATGGATTTTTAGAGATTTTAAATAACACATTTTTAGGAGTTTCTCAAGTTGTACAGTTATTCGGAGACCACTGCTATTCCAGTAGGTACATCCTGGCACTCAAACATACCTGCCACTTCTGCCAGGGAGTTGTTAATAAGCATAGTTGACCTCAGAGGAAATGCTAGTGGTGCAAGTGTTTTGGGACTTTGTACTTCGGTGTCTTGGATGGTGCCAATCAGTTTCTGCCGCATTTGGACTTGAGAATGGGAGGGGGGATTTGTAATAAAATAATTAAATCCAGTGGTGATTCTCTGCCTCTGTTCTTTCATGGTCAATCTGCATACAGTTTGCAATAACCTGCCAGTACCACTAGGAACTTGGGTGGCTTCAGTCAGTCTAACTTGACCCAATCTGTTACTTGGCAAATATGCTCAGTTACAACACTCATCACCGCTAGCCAGAATAGCCATTGCAATGATGGAAGTTGTACTCCAGCACATCGGAAGCATCCTGGATGGGGGAAGGCGTGATAATTAATTCTTCATTTTTGGTCCAGTAGCAGGTGGCAGGATGTGTATGAAAGGACATGAGCAAAGCAGGATGGTCCTGGCTCTCCTTAGTAGACTCCTATTGAGGATCATGTCAGGCCTAGCCCAAGGAACTCCAAGAGACAATGCCAATTCAGTCCAGCTATGTTTATTAGCTACAACCTCTAGCAAGAATCTTCCCAGACTAAACCCCCAGTCCCAAAATCCCCCCAGCCACAAAAGTGTGAATTCCTCAGGGAGGTGCCAGTCTCATCCTCTTGTTCCTCCCACAC